AGTTTCATTGTAATTGCTGTCCAAATAATTGATGACACAGGATTAAAAACTAAATGGTTTGGACCATGTCATATATTATCTCTCTCAAATTTTTGGGTGAAGTGTGAGAATCCAAAACAAAACCAGGCATTCTGGATGATCTGTGAAGTTTTCCGTCACAAGACTGATCTTTGATCTACTTTTTCTGGAGATCACGAAGGTTTCTTATTCTGATGACTAGTGGGATTTTTTTTTTTTCTGGATACAATGAATATGATTTATGTTCCTTTACTGCACAGGCAAAATCCTTTAAATTCTCCCTCCAGAGACCAATATGGTTACAGAAAAGAATACTGCCTGGTACCATAATGGCATGGGAGCGAAACTAAAACAGGTGGATGCCCCACAGCTGTGCTCACAGCAAAGCAACTAAGAATAGTAATAGCGGAGCAGCACACCTGCTGTTGACTTTGCTGCAACATAACCTTTCTAATGCTAGCTTCCAATCTACACTCATGCCTAGTTACCCTGTAACTTAGTTCGCATCCTTATCTTCTCTTTTTTTTTCTCTTTGCTTCATGAGCTAGGCCTCTTCCTGAAGTGTGATTGTGGTATCACCCTAAAGGGCTGAAACTGCATCTCGAACTGCAGTAGGCAGTATGTCTGTCTGATCGATCATCATAAGGAAGAGTGGCAGCGGGAGGCAGAGTCATCAGCACTGAATGGTCTAAGAAGGCCTTTCTTGTACTGGGATTAAACTATCATGAAATATTTAAGCTCACTTCTGCATGCGCTTTATTGTCTGTTGGGTATGTGCTTAGAAAGAGTTTGCTTAACTGATATAATACTGCCATCAGTATGACGATCCAGAAGCTAGTGAATTTATGCCAACAGTTAATTTTTGTTCTTAAATAAAGCTTTTTACACTTATGCCTTGTCATTATCTTTGTGTGCATTATTTCTATATAGCTGTATCACATAGATTTACATGATCTGGTTGTACTTCTTCCATGCAGTTCTATGAGAATTTCATTTGATGTAATATAATTCACTTTGAAACCCTCAGTACATAAAATAAAATAGTTATAATGATATTATGTGGGACTTTTCCAATTGATTCATCTCTTCAATGAAACGTAAAAGAAGTCTTCTACTACAAATTACTATAAATGGAAGAAAATGTTGTAAAATACAGACATATGAAGACTTTCCTCACACCTTGTCCTTTCTCAAGCTGAGAGCACAACCTACTTAATTTGCCACTGCAAACACTAGCCACTGCAGAAACTGCAGAATGATTTTGCAATAATTATTTTGTGCTTTAACATGAATTAGATATAAGGGTCAAAAAATTAACACTAGAATACCATTTAATCTAGGACATTAATCATTGTTAACTCATCTAATTTTACTATTAAACTGAATATTCAACCCATCAACCCTTCAGAGTATCCAATCTTTTTGTTCAATCTTAGCATTTTTTTGTTTTCACTTAGAGAAAAATTTATTATCAGGAAGTATGTCACTGAACTGTTAATGTAATCAATTCTATTTTATTTTCAAATCCTTCTTGTGCTTTACTTTACAAAGTACAAAATCAGATATGATTAGATAATTATTATAGTTTGGTTAGACTGTACGCATTTCCCAGTGCTACCAGGATTGTGAAACAATGTTACTCCGCAAAACATTATCCTAGGGTCTGAAAGCAAGCTATACACATGGCAAATAAAGAAGACTGAAGAACGATAAGACACAAAGCCCTTATCTCTGTATTGCTGGTTCCATTTCAGCTGATATTAACAGCAGCTGAATATTTATCACAGGGATACACAGTGGCTAACTGCATGTGAATGGATGTGTGGTCTCACAAAATTTCCAGCTACAGAAATTCCTGTGCCAAGGCTGCTACTGTGTATGACACCAACTTGAATGACCAGAGCACCGAAGCATGGCATAGCCAGGACCGTAGTATACCTTGCTATCCCTAACAGGGTTCTCTTTCTGATCGTCAATGAAATGAGATAGCCAGGTAATGCGAAGTCTGTTCACTGATGCCCTCCAGAAGATAAAGACATGCATAACCCTGAGCTAAAACTTCACAAAATGTAAATGACCCAGAGAAAAGAAGATCTCTTCTAAACTGGCAGCACCTCCCAGCATGCAGCCTGGCATACCAGGCTGTGGCTAATGACACCACAGTTTGCAGAGGACTAACTGATGAAGAAAAATATAAAGATTTTTCACATGGATACGATAAACACTATAATGAGTATATTTTTCCACAAAACTAGCATACAACCTCTGCACTACAGGACAGAAGCCAAAATTAGTGAGTTGCACAACACATACTAAAATGCCTGTTAAAGTTGGTCTTGTCAGCAGGTAGCATAATTTCAAGTGTGTAACCACATTTTATTTTAAAGGACAGTTTCTGAACATGGAAATGTACAGCAGACGAGGGTACCTGACCTCCCAGCAGAACAAGTCTCCCTAGCGTCTGAAAAATAAAAGAACTATTTGTAAACATCAAAAGTTGAAAGCAACTGTATGAAAATACAAAGAGTAAATAAGAATCATTTCTACCTTGCCACAGAAGATTACAGAAGGATGCAAAGTATAAAATACTGTATTTTGAAATAAGTAAACTGTGTAACTTGTTCAGGCTAGGGGAGACTACCACTGAATTTCAGCCTTAAGTTGACACTTTTCTCCAGGAATGCCATAAAATCTTTTGAGGGAAGTTCCCAGTCTTCCTTTTTCCATTTGAATATTTTTTTGAGTGATATAAAGGATGACAGATGAATATTTATTGTTGACAAATCCAAAAAACTTCAGCAAAACAATAAACTCTACAAAAAGCTCACACAAATTCTGCACTTGGGTTATGTTTAGCAATTATTCATAACCTATTATATTTAAGAAATGCTGTTTCTAGTTCAAGAAATGTTAAATACAGGAAAAGTTCCAGCACCTGAAACTGTCAGCTGGCTCACTACTGAAAATTACTCTTCTGAAGAGTTCAGACATTATTAAAGGTGAGAATAGTACAACACAGTCATGTTCCTTTCCCTTTCTTTTTTCTCCTGTCCTCTATATTAAATCAGAAATTAGAGAAGGATATGACCTCACAGGCAACCTACTTTCCTCTTCTGCCAGTGCAGAGTCATTCTCTATGATACCATCCATTTTGGAAAGCTTTTCAAAGCCTGTCTTTAAAATATTCTGACGGTTTTTCCTTTGTTAATTTTGATATATTATTTTACAGTCTAACAGCTCCCTGTTAGTAAGGTTCTCCTGATACTCAGCCTGAAGCTCTCTCTCATAATTCATTCCCTTAACTGTAAATTTCTTTATTCAGATTCATTTCTATTTATGCCACACCAGACTGCACTGTTCTTCTGTTATTATAATGTCAAGTTTTGAGCTAAAGTCTAATTTTTTCTTTCAATTATTTCTCTTACTGAAAGGCAAAATCTTATACTGAAGTGAATACCTACAGTACAAATTATTTTTGCCCCAAAATATCTGTTTGCAAATTTCTATTTTTTATCTTATTTTGTTTTCTGTGTGTTTTCATAAGCCTTCATAAAAAAGAAACACTGTCTTTTTATTTTCCTTGATATTTTTACTGCCTACTTATTCATTACTACCCCTGAAGTTTATTAGGGATGCTTGCTTTCTCTTCCAGCCTAGTGAAGATAGTAAGAAAATACACAGCTCTACACTATGCTAAAAATACTGTAATTAGACAACCTGTCCTCTTCATAGTTTTAATGCCTTGAATTTACTTGACTTATTCTTCCTCACCCTGTAGCCCATTCCTATCAAAACTATTTAAATAAGTTTTGTGGAATTACATTTATCTTCCTAATATATGTTATTGCTAAGTCTGGGACTACTACTTGGTCTTAGTTCAACTCTTTTCTTGAGGGTATACTATATCTCAGTATTTTTCCGTTTTACAATAGCATCAAATTAGACTTTAATGTTAAGTATTGCAGTTATGGCCTGACATTTACACAGTCACCTTTTCCCTCCCTTTCTACATTTTCTATTGAGTTGTTTAATGTAATTCACAATTACATTTGGAAATTCACACCTACAAATGAAACCCTTTTTTTTTTTCCATTTAAGGCAAAGTCAACCTTATTTGAAATCATTGCAAAAAGTAAAAAAAAAATAAAAAAAATTGTCATTTTTCTGTCACTGCAACTGTGCATATGGCTTGCAAACTCTCTAAGGAACAATCAAAATGAGTCATCTGTCTAGAATTCCAGACGACGAAGGCAAAATTCCTTCTCAAAACCACAGTGACTGGTGGTTCATCCAAATTCCATGCTCTGTTTTGACCCAGATTGACTATAGCAGCCATAACTGGCTTGGATGCAATGCGGTGCAAACACTTGGACGAGGCCACATTCAAGGTCGCACCTTGCCCAATAACCCCTCCCGTTGAAGGGGCACGTGATACACAACCAGCTGAAGGCAGTTTAATGGAACAAGGACTACCTGGGCCAACTCTGCATACAGACACTTTATTATCTCCATGCCTTAAGTTTTAACACACTCCACGACACCAGTATTATCAGTATGCAAAATCCCACTATTGCAACAGAGGAAAGTTCACTGATACTGAACTGGTGACAGAATTACGTAAGTAAACCATTCAATGCTAATAATTTTCCCCTTTCCCCCTTCTTTGTGTCCTGTTAGCCCAGGAAAATCACAGGCAGAATATGTACTCGATTCAGTACATGCTCCATCACTGCACTGGAGTCTTCATCAAGTTCTCTCATATGTACCTGAATGGACTTTATCTGCCCTGGGAATGTCACTGTGACAAATACAACCGTGGGGTGTCATTTACTGTAATGCGGCCAACTGAATAAGTTCTAAGAGATAAGCAGCACTTCCTTTAGCCCCATTCCTCTAATCCTAAATTCAAGGAAGAAAACGTCCTCATGTAATGAAATAAAAATAGAAGGAATTAAATTAAATAATGCCTTGCAAACACTTACAGGCCATAAATCTGTGGAGCAATTTCCAGTCGGTTCAGATGCATGTACAGCTCAATATCATGTTTCTTCAGCAGATGATCCTGAATTTGGTTTACCTTTGCTACAATAGCAATAGATGGGCCTAAGTCCTGTGGCCTTGCAAACGGCATAGGTGTAATCATCACATCCTTCTCCTGCAGACACAGAAAAAGGGACAAAAAAGAGCATCCCATTAAGCCTTACTGTCTAAAGGGACTGTCTACAAGAGTTTTGTTTTGTTGTAATCATTGGCTTCCAACTCAACATAAAAATATTAATAACTTGCTTCTTTTCCAGGAAAAGAGGAATTTCAAGTATCCACTTCTGTGGAAGGTATTGTGGGATTCCCCCTCCCAGGCATGCCAAGGTTCATCTCCTTGTTCTGCATGTCAATTTTTACGTGCGTGCTTTACTTTTCATGCTCTGACAAAGTGTTGACAGCTTTATTTTAGTTTTAATAGCAGACTGCATCAGTCCAGAGCAAAGCAGATGAATGGTAACTTAGTAGAGAATATATGCCCTCAGAGGACAATAAATTGCATAACAAATAGGAAATAACTTCGAACAATCCTATCTCAACAGGCTTCCCTTGCTCAGAAAATCTGGTGGCTGTACCTCAAAATCTACACAACTTTGATAAAGGATGAGAAAACTTCTAAAACAAAAAAGAAATAGAACAGTGAGATGAACCTGACGGTTAAAAGGTAGTTGGTTGGACCTAAAGGTTGTGCAAACCTGACGGTTAAAAGGTAGTTGGTTGGACCTAAAGGTTGTGCAAACTATGTCATGATTTAGAACACGACACATACCAAGTGAAAACAGAGGACGAAAACTACTGGAGTCTTTGCATCCTTGAACCTGATAATGCTTTAAATTTGTTCTTCTTGCAGAAGAGTGAAATTATTGAAAAAGAGACAGAATGCTAGAAAGAAATGCAGCAAGTAATGCACCTCACTGAATAGGAAACACGTAAAAAGGAGGACGAGAAATAAAAAAGAACAAGTCAAACCTACCAAGAAAAAGACTGGGGAAAGGGCAATGGAGAATGAAGCTGTCAGGAACAATGCTGAAGTTATAGAAGAAGGAAAATTGGAACAGCAAGAAAAGCAGATTTTGCAATGACTTTGTTGCATTCTGTCATCATGGCTGTCTGACCTGAAAGCTTCAGTTTAAAAAATAGTTACTGTTTTTCTACCCTTTTGCTCAGTGTATTGATAGAGAAGCATTATCAAGGTCAAAGGGTTAATATTTTCAAAAGACTTCACTACAACTTAAACTGCTGAAACACAAATTCACTTGGTTCAACACAGTGAAAAGCACATTATTTTTAACATTGAATAACAAAGAAGGATTTTTTTTGTTGTATAAACTATCGTCAAGGTTGTTTCTTATGGTTATAGACTCTCTTCAACCCCATTCTCTCTGTATCAGCATTTTAAGAGGAAGGAAGAGAAGCACCCACATTTCACAATCATTTACAACATGGTTTAACATTCAAGTGGGCATTCAAGTTTAGTAATTGCTACCAAAAAGCGTATTTTTATGCTGATCTCCTTTGCTTGAAATATTTTTTCTTAATTATTCCATTTCTGTACTGCAGAAAATACTGTATGATGCTGAGCAGTGATTTCAGGTAAAATGTTTCTATTGAGGGATCTGATTGATTATAAATTGTGTCTTAAAATCTGCTTGTTGCTTCGCTATGGCAATTGCAGCAAAGGCCTTGATGTATTACAGTATGGAGGTTTTGCCATGCTATTGTGGTACCAAGACATACCCACTTAAGATGCCCTAGCAAATCACTTGATAAAAGCTCCCTCAGACTGTCAAGTAAAGCTCACTGCAATGGCATCCTTTAATTCAAAATTTTTTCTGTTCTGAAAAACAGAAATTTAAAATAAAACATCTAGCATCTTTGGGCTTATTAAGAAATGTTGCTACTTACTTAAATACTAAAGTTCTTCACAGCTGCAGGTATATTGACAAAGGATATTTCTCCTACTTCCTTTTCGAATGATTCTATTAACTTCTCTATTACCAAATTGGGAAGCCTTCTTTTTACTGTAATTTTTGTTTCTCCATTGTATGCCTATTTTCTATTGCTTTTTCAGATCCATTTTGTTATTTTTTTGGTCATATGCTAGAATGCAAAATGCTGAAAATGGGTATCCACTAATTTCCTTCTAAACTATACAGAAAACCACTTTTAAAGTATGATATGATAACATTGCCTTAACATTAAATGCCAGTCTATAGTAATTTTTTGCATAGAAGTATCAATTTATCTTTGAAACTAATCATAAAAGACTGTAACTCTACAGATTCAGACTGTGCATGTTCCATCAGCTGTCACACATCTAGGATATGAACTTTATTCTAGTTTATTCAAGTTGAGTTTAACTTCAGCTTGACCACTGCATGCACTCATAACTCTGATGACTTAAAAAAATCTGTATTTTTAGGCTTTTCTCAATTACAGGCACAGATGCTTGTATAGAAATCTCAACATTAGAATCTTTCTAGTTAGTTGAACTTGCAATACAAGAAGACTAGCTAGCTACCCATATTAGCCTTTACACCATTAGGTGTCTGTGGCTTTAAAGCCATCTTCACAAAATTAGTAAACAGACTCGTAAACATTGGCTCAAGTGTCAAAAGATTCTGAATATCAAAACTAATAAAAGCTTCCTCTTACAGAGGAGTGCCAAAACTGGAGTTATTTGTCACTTGCAGCATTTGTGCACCTTGGCATAATGCAGCACTGACACATTGCTGACTGTCAGACTGACTGACTATCAACATGGCTAAGTGCATCAAATAATATATGCTGGCTTGCCATTTTTAAAAGCATAAGTAAATGGTATCCATCAAAACACAGTTCATCAGCATTTCACAAATTAATCCCATTAACAGAAATCTTCAAAGCATGACAGAATCTGTGGGGACAGCAGTTGCAATCAATAATCAATGCCTTGGCTGTCCGTGCCTCCTGATCTGGTGCACTCCACCAAGAAGCTCGGTGGACGACTAGAGTGCATATGATATGCCTGTTGTCTCCTCTCACGCAACTTGGTTGAGAAAACAACAATACATTTAGTCAGTTGAAATTGCTCCAAAAAATCACATCAGCTGGTGTGAAAGAAACAGCCCAAACAGAAGGATGCTCATATAAACTCATACAACCAAGCCGCCAAAATGTTTAACTAGAAATGACTCACAGTGCCTGTGCCTAGAGCACAGAAGCCAAGTGGACAACACGATACTGTGCCCCTGCCTATACTCACCATATACTAATTTGCCTCATGAGACAAAACAGTCATTCTCTTTTTGTGAGCTTCGAAGTCTTGGAAAACATTTGAGTGCATGGATTAAGTCATCTACTGCTAACACGAAACAGAAATGATCAATCCCAAAGCGATGCGGTTCACAATAGAGAGACAAAAAGAGGGACGGCTCAGAGACGTGCTATACTGTTTACAGGAGAGCATCAGATTCACCTCTAAGAACAGTTTAAATATAGATACCACTGAAATGCAGCTGAAAAATTTCGATCAAGTATTAAGAACTGAGTCACCAAATCCTGCCACAAAACATTACCTACCACAACACAAACTGCAATGGCTGGGAGTTGATACTAATACAATTTATATATTCATGCATTTAGAAAACAAATGAACAAAACAGTAAAGAGAGGCTAGGACATAGTACAAGTATAAACTGTGGACAGATTTCTCTCATTAACCACTAGGGAATGGAGTAGCTCCTCTAATGGCAATTGGGAGTAATGGAATCAACTGTTAGAGGCTATAAAATGTAACATGTCTCTCAGAGCGCATGATTTCACTGTTTCCTTTGTGAAGATTCAGACTTTATTATGCAGCCAACCGTCAAAGTCATGATTGTAAAAGGCATATGTACAAGAAAGGATTATTAAAGATTATACATGTTTGCAAAGAACAAGAACAAACAACTAGATATTAATCCATGCGCTTTGCATTATTAATTTTTTATGCCACAAAAGGACTGGAAAGGGCAATGTAAACTTTCACCTTCTACCCAAGCACTGCAGATCTGTAAGCAGACCTAGTTTTTTCCTGGAATAAAATTCCACCTCAGACTTTACTACCTCTGTCACAGAAATTGGAACAAATATATTTAAATTCACTGAATTCTCAAAAGCTACACTCAGAGAAACCTGTCTCACAGCTTTGTTGTGGAATAAAAGTGACTACGTAATAAGTTCATAAAATTTGTATCTCATATGCGTTATCCTTAGTTACTGAGAATCATGTGAAAAACCAAATCCAAATAGTAATCTATAACTGTAGATAGCTTAGACCAGGATGCCAATGCTCCATGTCTAATAAAATATGTACACAGATACATTTAAACATTTAGAGGAAATAGAAGCTTTTACATGAGCCTTGGGTGAACACCTGTTTCTTCAACAGACATGCAAAACCACCTCTCAGACTAGTACTCCATAATTACAGTTTGCAAATATAGATTTTGGTGCACACATGTGGACACCCAAAACCAACCAAATTCTTATTAATTTTTTGTTAACTCCAGACAGTTGTCCCATGGTCTATGTGAAAAATCCTGAAGTGAATCAAGCTGGAACTAAGTTTGGAGGACAACTCTTTTAGGATATAATATACTGAAAGTCTTGGCAATACTTGTCATACAGCCATGTGGAAAGAGACAGGAAAAAAGTATTCAGAGAAAACCCTGAGCAACTGACTGAGGGTATTGTCCCTCATGCCTTGCACGAAAAGCGGTTGCAGGCAAGGACTAGACAGTCCCTAGCAGGTCCCCGCAAAGCAGTGTTCTGTAGAACTAAACTCAGAATACAGAAAGAGCTTTTCTATGAAAAGAAGCAACATACTAAATATAGTGGTGCCTGTATAGCTATACAGGAGATCTGAGGGCACAGACATTCTCTCTGTTTGAATACCCTGAGGTCAACAAGAAACAAAATAAGGCAATGGAGTGATGAATTCAGGGAAAGATGCACCCTGACCTTTAATGCACAGTCTATGATTAAAGTTTTGGTTTCACAGCAAATTGTTTATATTGTAAACAGCTGAAAACAATTCAAGCCTCTATATGTTAAACACTGCCTATATGCATTAATTTAACATGACATTTGCACAGGTTTTGGGGACATAGATGTGCCTATGACAGGCATTCTTTTGAACGCTACACAAGAACATCACTCATACATAGGACAATCTGTGTTTGCACATTTGGCTTTTGATTACCAAGTGATCTTTCAACAGATAAGAACTCTCAACTGGAAGACCTTCCGCAAGGGCTTATGACCAAATTCTAAAGAAGCTCCAAAGAATGTAAACTTGGTTGAGCCTGCTTTAACCACTTTATTTAAGAGAAGATGCCTTATTAGTTTCAAATTACTTCAATCATATTAAAAATCACATTTGCTTAAAAACACAATAAAAACATTTTAAAGCAGTATTTACCTTCTGACTGTCATGTTCAAAAGTTGAAAACCAATGTTCTGCAGTTTTCATAAGACGTGTGAACATTGCACTGCAGGGGAAAAACACAGAAACTTGGTGTTAAAATATGTATTGCAAATAAGAGCAAATGAAATGTAAAGGAAGTTGTTAAAACTTACTAGGCATCATGTTCCAGATATTCAGGATTCAAAAGAACTTTCATTTCCTCGCTGAAAAAGGCAACAGTGAACAATCCAAATGTGAATGTTTATTTTTGGTCAGCATTCTGCATGTACTATTCTGTATTTATAAGCCAACTTTCATATAAAGTGCAAATGAGAAAACTAGCCTTTTTAATTAAAAAGAGCAACTCCATTGAACAAATGAAGTCTTTCCTTTTTATAAAGATCAAAAACAAATTAGCTGCCTTGTCTGCACTACAATGAAGTAACCATCTAATTATTCCAAATAACAAATTACTGAATGTCACAATGTATTATTTGAATATGCTTGATCTAGAATAATTGATTGCTGCACAATCTATCACTGTTTGTCCCAAACAAAAAAAATATGGTTACTGGTCAAATACGCAGTATCAAAACATTAATTTATTTTGTTTTAATAGCCTGTATTTTTATTGTACTTTAACAGCAATTAATCACTGACAACACCTCTTTTCCATCTACTTTGCTTCTTAGCTCTACTTTTTCAATGGGGATGGAACAGAATGCTGCGCATACACATGGTTATTTTAAGTTACTTAGCACTGAAGAGCATCTTCTAGGTAATTTCAGGATATCTAAGGACAGACAATGAATAAAAACACACACTTCTAAATAATCTCCATCCTTATGCTTAACTGCCTTTGGACAATCACGTTGACAGGTGATAACAGAGGTTACATTATACAGTACATGTAATTAAATTGGCTTTCATTCACTGCTGGACTCCAAAAGAGAGTGTAAAAAGACAAATGAAATGACCTAAATATCACAAATGATACAAGAAGGCAACTAGTTTCTTTTTTTCTTTTTTTTTTTTTTTTAAAAAAAAAGAGAAAGCTTTGCATATAGGTCAAGAAAAAAGTATCTGAAATTGGTGGGCAGACAATCATGTGTGATGTAATGTTATATATATGTGTATGATTACATGCACACGCACACACAGTTTGAGTGAAATGGAGAATCAATAACTAAACTTAATGTTACTACCAGGTCATAGCATAGTCAGATTTTGCAGCTACAACACTGCAGATGATGAAAGAAATATCAGTCACAACAATTTGAGTACACTGATTTTTTTGTCTTAAGATATGAGGAAAGAGACTTGGTAGCGTGTCTGTTCTCTGACTGTAGTTCTCTAACCTGCCTCCTCTCTGCAATGACAAAAATATTTCTGGTGATATAATAATAATAATAATAATAATAAAAAAAAAATATTTCTGGCAATAAGAAAGAAGCGAACCAGTAGGTATGTAAGCTTTTTGATTAAGGTTTCCCTTTAGGTTCCTTGTCTTCCCTTTTTTGTCAGCTAATATCTGTAAAGATAAATAAGGACATTCCCATAACGGCACGAGGATGTAACCATTTCTGGTATCAATTTATCAATCATAAACAAAGAATTAAGGAACACATATTTATAAGTTCTAGCCCACCCAACTTATTTTTTTTTAAGAAGGTGGATTTATACCATACAAATAAAATATGATGCTTGCCTTGGTTGTGCAGCTTCACTGGCATGTGAAAAAGCTTGGTGGTCACAATGCAGGATAAAGACAATGGGAGCTAAAAGTTCATGCATACCCTAAACATAAAAGGAAGTAAAAGTCAAGTAAGATTTTCCAGTCATATAATAGTTCCTATTACATAGCATCAGGCAGCCAGCAACAATAGGTGCAGACTAACTAAAAGCAGGAACATTTACATTCTTAATAGAATGGTTTCATAATCAATGGCTTTTATCTTAAATGCTGATTATATCCAAGTGTTTGCTCTTCTGTAACATATGAAAGCAAGTTATTCTCCCTTTTTCTAACACAACAGACAACAAAGTGGCAATGGTAGTCAACCCTGCACCTGGCAGTTTACTCTAAGATCTATGTTCACAAATATGAATTTTATTTATGATAATTACAATAATGATCCACAGTACAAAGATCTGCAATAGGGAAAAATTAAAAAATTTTAAATTATTTTTTATTTGATAATGCTCCAAACACAGAATAGCAGTAGCCTTTAGAGGAAACAAGGGCAGCTATTTGGGAAATCAGAAGATGAAACTTACATTCCTAGGGACATGAGAAATAAAATAGGTTTTTTGCCTTTTTTTTTTTTTTTTAAAGTCTTTATGTCAATATTAAAAATAAACTCATTATAACACAATGCATAGGAGACCTGGTACTGTTCCATTACAAACAATTACTTATCTGTGCAATCTATATTAAGCTACAGAAAAAATACAGAAACATGCAGCATCGGAAGGGAAAAAAATGGA